GGGTTCCCACACCAGGGCTGCCAGGTCAGGGTCCCACCTGGGCTGTCCTGCTCTCTCAGGGCACTGCTGATTCTGTGGTGGGTGAGGTTGAACAGGGAGAGGTGCAGAGGAGCCCCCAGTGCCCCCAGAGGCAGCTGCCCCTCCTCTGCCACCTCTCCTGTCCCCAGCCAGCTGCAGATTTACCTCCTGGAAGGTAAATCTGCTCTTCTGCTCCAAGACAGAAGTCTGGAATAAACCCCCTCCCCAAAGGCTGGGAGAATGTAATTCTTCCAAATGTACTTTTGGAAAACATGCTGCTGTACATCCCTCTGCAAAAACTCCAGCCACAGCTCACAGGGACAGACCAAGTGACATGACACAGCCATTCCATCAGTATTGCTGGAGTTACATTCACTGAGGTGTTTCTCCTGGCTAGCAGAGACTTAGAGTGGTGCATCTCACCTCCAAGGATGGGCTATAGACATTTTAGGATGGACAAGAGGGTTCAAGGCTGACCAGAAGCCCTGTCAGACCTTGCTGGCAATGCTACAAGAAGTCCCCACCTCTGTCCCTCTCTCAGAGGGTGCTTTTGCCCATAAGCCTGAGGACACATGAGCCCCATCTCTCCAGCCCACAGCCCAACACAGATGGCTTAAAATGGATTTTGCACTAACATGGCCAAACAATAAACTGGAGCAACAGCTACAGGTTTTCCCCATGTCAGAAACTGCTCCTGTCTTAACCTGCTGTGAGCTGCTGGCCCTGGAAGGGTGAACTGCACCTCCAGAGCTCTTCCAAAGCTACTCCAAATCAGCATTTACCCTGGTGCCCTTGGCTTGCCAAGGCCACCCCTTTAGGTTGGAAAAGGATCATTTAGGTTGGAAAAGACCCAAAAATCAAGTCCAGCTGTAAACCCAGCTGTCGCAGACATCTTTTATGGAAAATCCTTTCCTTAGGATTTTTCCTCCTGAGAAGCTGAGAGGCCTCAGGAACAAAATGTAAACATTGATTATCTGCTGCTGTGGAATGCAACAAGTGCATCTGTGATTGGCCCATGTTGGTTGTTTCTAATTAATTGCCAATCACAGTCAGCTGGCTCAGACAGAGAGCCGAGCCACAAACCTTTGTTATCATTCTTTGCTATTCTATTCTTAGCCAGCCTTCTGATGAAATCCTTTCTTCTATTCTTTTAGTATAGTTTTAATGTAATATATATCATAAAATAATAAATCAGCCTTCTGAAACATGGAGTCAGATCCTGATCTCTTCCCTCATCCAAGAACCCCTGTGAACACTGTCACACCCAGCACTGCCAAGGCCACCACTAAACCCTGTCCCCAAGTGCCACATCTCAATCTTTTAAATCCCTTCAAGGATGGTGGCTCCACCAGTTCCCTGCTCAGCCTGTTCCAATGCCTGATAACCCTTGTGGGGAAGAAATTTTTTCCTGATGTCCAACTGAACCTCCTTTGGCACAACTTGGAGCCACTTCCTCTTTGCTTTTGTTACCTGGGGGAAGAGACCAACCCCAGCTCCTGTCAGGGAGCTGCAGGGAGTGATAAGGTCTCATCTGAGAGATGATCTGGCAGTCAGCACACAAGCATTTGTATTGCTTTCTCAGTTTTTCCCCCACACCCAGGGGCACAGGAGGTGAAGGAGCAGAAGGTTATAACCCAATCCTCCTCTATCAGATCAGCTGTTACACCTGTAAGAGGCACTGTGCAGATTTTCATGTGGACATTATGATTTTTTAGGACAGAGAAGAGTCTGAGTGAGGCTACATGAGGGAATTGCAGTGAAATGTCTCTTGGTTGAGTTGTGGGTCAAGGAAAGCTCTCCTGAAAGCTTCTCAGAAATTCATGCAGTGCTTTTGCTGTTACAGGTCAGGGTGTTTAACCTCTACTGATGGTGTTTTGAGCAGCTTGTGGGGTTTTTTTAACTCCTTCCTTTGCTTTCCCAAGGCAGGAGGCCCCTGCTGTGTTATCTCATCTGCAGGGCTTGGCCCTTCCCTCTTCCTCCCAGAGCTCCAACCCAGCAGCAGGCTGGAAATACCTTTGGGAGGTGTCACTTTGCAAACACATCCTTGGCAGAGCCTGTTCCCCCATGCACAAAGTCACCCTTGTGCACAGGAAGGTGGGATGGCCCAGGCTGAGGCAGATGTTGGCCCATTCTGCTGCCAGACCCTGTGCTTGCACTTCTGCTCTCTTCCTCCCTCTCATTTACCCCAGCATGGACCTGGGACAATGCTCTCAGTGTCCTGGGCTTGCACTGGGACACTGCCAACAGCCTCATCTGCCACCTGCAAGCACAAAAAACCCCAAACCACAAGGTTTGTGAGCTCTGGGAATAGCAGGGCCAGGATTAGGGCCAGGACACGAGAGCAGCAGGTTGAGCACAGCTGGACAGGGACATCTCAGATCATGTTTCAGTTCTGAAAGTCAGGCTAGGCTGTTTTCCACCGCTACTGAGTTAAACTGCTTGGAAATAATGTTTTCTGCTCTATAACCCCATGGCATGACCAGAATTAGCAGGAAGCAAAAGTGCCTACAGCTCAGCCCTAAATGAACCCACGTTTTATGATGAAGATCTTTATTTTTTCCCTTGGCATTGACTGTTCTAAACTGCTTTGCACATATTTCTGCAAAGCTGGGCTCCTTAAAAGCTCACCAGGATAATTTAGAGCTTTTTCACTGTGGCACTAATGGAGAGGAGGAGAGGGCAGGCAGCTCAGGCATCACCTATGTGGGAGCCTGAAGTGCATTAGCAAAGCTTGGGTATAGCAATGACAAACTCCATCCCAGAGCTCAAATTTGTGTAACCACAGCCATGAAAGTGCCTTGATTTACATCAGCACCAAAAATTCACCCAGACAGACAACTATTAATGAAATCCTTGATTCTGAATGAGTCCATGAGGCAAAAAGGGAATGGGAAAATAACAGGATTTGGTGCTGATCCTCCAAGATTCCAGGTGATTTCACCCCACCTTCCAACACCTCCCACCAGATCTGCTGGTGTGTGACTCTCACTACTGGGCCAGCACTGGGTGGACTCCAAAGATGAAAGCAGAGCCTGCTTCAGGTCCCCATCCTCTGTTCTCCCAAATGTAATTTTGGAAAACATGCTGCTGTACATCCCTCTGCAAAAACAGAGGGACTCACAGGGACAGAGCAAGGGACATGACACGGCCATTCCATCAGATCTGCTGGTGTGTGATCTCACTGCTGGGACAGCACTGGGCTTAGGGTGGGCTCCCAAGATAAAAGCAGACCTTGCTTCAGGTCCCCATCCTCTGTGGACTGGAGGAAACACAAAGCCTTGTTCCTCTGTCCCCTGCAACAGACAAGCACTCTCAGCATGGTGAAATGAAAAGAATGACATGAAAACAATGAAAAATGAAAGGTGAAGGCTGATACAGGTTTATGAGCTATAGCCTGCAGACATAAAGGCAGAAATCACTTGTGAGGAGTTGGTTTTGCATCTTAAACCGTGAAACTGAGACCTCTGCAGTGATCCTCTCAGAAATGGGCACACCCAGGCTGAATAAGCAGGTGCAGCCACACCTTGGTTTGCAGCTCTCTGTGGTCAGTGGCACACCAGGCTGCAGGCAGTGTCACTGGTATTCTGGGCACTCCTCCCACTACAGCTCCCTGAGGTCTGACAGTGGCCAGTGGATGGGACCTGTGGGAAGTGTGGTTTAAAGCTATTCAGCCACCTGGTTTAGCTGATTCATATTTATTTTCAGATTGTGGGGGCTAATCTAGAAAATTCAGGAAGTGACAAGGGAAAAATGTATCTGAAGGGAAGGCCTTGGACAGCTGCCAGTCATGAGTGGTTGTGTGTAGTTTCTATCCTCAGAGATGTGCAGAGCACAGCTGGACACAGCCCTGAGTCCCTCAAAAGTCTCCATGCTCAGAGATGAGCAGAGCACACCTGGACACAGCCCTGGGTTCCCCAAAAGACTCCATGCTCAGAGATGTGCAGAGCACAGCTGGACACAGCCCTGGGTCCCCCAAAATTCTCCATGTTCAGAGATGTGCAGAGCACAGCTGGACACAGCCCTGGGTCCCCCAAAGGTGTCCGTCCTCAGATATCTCCTGGACACAGCCCTGGGTGCCCCCAAAGCAGAGCTGGTGGCTGATGACAAGGTACCACATGGTTCCTTCTCCAGACAGGGATGTTCCTCCATCAGCAGCACCAAGCACATGGCAGGCAGGAGCAGCTGGGAATGCCAGGAGATGATTTTTCCTCAGCTCATCCCCAGCCAGTGAATCAGGCAGCCTTCAGTGGCTGTGATATCACAGCCATCCTTCACAGGTAATTTTTTTCTCAGCAATGAGCTGTAAGGGCCCACACACAGAGCTTTGTGCTGCTGAAGGTGGCTCAGCAAACCCTGCTGGGGCTGCCTGGTTGATCATTACTGCTCTCCTGGGAGGGCAGCCCAGTTAAACACTCCAATGCTCTGTTACACCCCTAAACCTGGGGGCAATCCTCACCCAGGGCTCCTTGGGAGCACAGGAACACCCAGCTCGGCCTTGCGGGGAGAAGAGGAGCAGAGATCTTCCCGCTTTTCCCCTTGGAACAGCTTTGCCAAAATTCGGGACAGAATTTTGGGGACAGTCAGAGCCAGTGACTGGAGCTGGAACTCTTTGTCCCCAAGGGTTAACACTGAGCAGCACAGCACCTTGCTTTGTCCTGCAGAGACTGAGAAAAGAGGAAAAAAATCCCTCCTGTGCCCTCCTAACCTGGACAGAACAGGTTTTTAATGAAAGCAGCACTTAATCACCATTCAGGGAATTCAGAGCGGGGGATATTGGATGCGAACAGAGTTGGTTGAAACTCTCCCGGACCGGCTCCCTCTTTGTCCCTCTGTGAGCCTGGGAATGGGTGTGATCTCCGGGTAGGAGTGTCTCTGCGGTTAAGTAGAGGATTGAATTTCCGAACAGTGCTGTTCCCCGGCTGACAAGGTAGCAGAACAGCGAACAAAAGTGCCCTGAAGCTCGGCGGGGAGGAGAAGGAGGCGCTGGGCTCGGTGGAGAGGGGACACCTGCGAGGACAGCGCGCACTTTGCAGCAAGGTAAGCGAGCTCCTGCGCCCTTGCTGGTTTTCATGAGGCCACAACTGTTTGATGACTTTATGTGGGATGGTAACAAACAAAAAATTAATGTTTCATACTTAAAAAAAATTAGTTAAAGATCCTGCCCTGTTGCAAAGCAGGATGTGTCTGCTGGAAGGAGCCCACCCTGATTTACATCGTTTGGGGCTGGAACGAGCAGCTCTGAGCCTGCCAAGAACCCGTCCGGGCTCCCTGTCAGCTCCGAGGACACAACTTTTCCTTCAGCCTCTGCACAGCCTGGCTTTGATTTCGTGCATAACCTTTGTCTGGGCCTGGATTGTTTTGTGTTTTGCTGCCGTGGGGATTTCCAAAAGCTCTGCTGCCTTTGGGGTGCAGTTATGGGTCCAGGCAGCCACGGAAGGTCTTTGGAAGTTCTCATGGATGGGTTTTATTGTCATCTCATCGACAGATTGCTAATGGCCAGGCTGCTGTGCTCTGCAAATAGAATGTTTTCTCATCCTGCTCATTCCAGATGCGAGCTGCACTCAGATAAAATTGAGTTGTAATGCAGTTGAGCTGCAGGCTCACTTGCCAGTATTTTTCTTAGGCGTGCCTATTAGGAACATAAATATTTAACACAAAGGAGAGCTGATATGAATTAGCATCTGTGGGAGGTTCACGCTTATTCAAGGCTGCCCTAACGCAGATGTAAACAAGTGTTAGAGCAGCTGAAGCAAACTGGCCCCGCCAGAGCAGGGCTTGGATGGTGAATCATCCAGGTGCTTTTTACACAGCGCAGCGAAATGGGCTGATTAGAGCCTGCAAAGTGCAGATTAGACAATCAGAGGGCACTGGCTTTCCTCTTCCGCGGGGTTTTACCGTTCCCGCGCGATGCCAGGTGGAAGGCAATGCAAGGACAGGCAAATCAGAAAAAAAACCTCACCTTCTTCCTGGCACAGCCAGGTGAGCCTCCCCTCCTCCTCCTCCTCCTCCCTGCGCAAACAGGATGCCTTTATCCTCCTCCAGCAGACACAGAGGTCTCATGATGTTTTTTTCCCAAGCACGACTTTGAGGCAGCACTTGCCAAAGTCTCCCAGCTGGGAGCAAAGGTTTTGTGCCATGGCTGTGAGCAGTGCCACTCTGATCTCCTGCCTCTTCCTGTATCTTCTGCTTAGGTTGAGTCAGTAAATCCCTGCTCTTGCATGGCCAGGGATGCTGAAGATGTTCACAGCATCTTCTGGCCTTTTCCACAGAGCTGTGCAAGTTTTTCTGCACTTTGAGCATGGAAGTTGTTATCTCTTCTGTTATAGAGCACCCATCCTGTGGTGATCCATCCCCACCTGAGGAGGAGGCTTGCTTGGACACTTGCCCCGTGCTTGGAAATGTGCTGGGGCTCAGCTGTGTGCTGGGCACATCCTGCTGGACCAAAAGCCTTCCCTCAGCTCCCACAGAGTTAAATATGTGGTGACCCACTTGGAAGCAGAGCCCTGAAATGTTCAGTGCAGTGAAGGGAGCTCAGGGCACAGCCAAAACCTTGGTGTTACCTGCCCCAGCTGTGTTTTTGTCACCCTTGGGGAGCACTTGTGCCACCACTGACCCTCCTCAAGGCCCCCCTCCTTCAGGACATTTTTGTGTCAGCCTTGTGAGGCTCTCACTGGGCAGACACAAGGCACAGGTTGGGCTTTCCCAGTGTGAAATGTCCATCTGCCCAAGGAAGGACCCCAGGGTAGCCACACCACACCCAAAATATCTCTTTGTTTATTCACATTTATTCTTCATCCTCTGTTGTCCCTTCAGAGGAGCAGATCCTTCAGTCACAAAGGGAAACACTCTCCCACAACTCAGTAAAACCTCTCCTCTCATGAGCTCTCTCTCCATATAATACAACCGTGGAAAGGGGCCTAATTATGGTTTATCCTGGATAATTATACATTTCTACTGTATTTCCACCCATTCTGGGTGTGAAAGGGATGCAGAAAGGGGAGAATATTATCATTTAAAGTCTTTGGCATCTTTCACCCTGAAAAGTCCAGGCACATCAGGTGATGTGAATCCAATTCAGTTGCCTTGATTTCCAAGGATCTCTGCTTGTAACAGAAACCCTCTCATTTGTTATCTGCCTTTATCTGAGCCTCTTCAGGCTTATCTGAGGCTGAGCTGGGTACAGTGACAGTGGAACTTGTTATTACCTTATATCCACGTCAGGGATGTGACACTGACCTTAAATTGCATGGTTGGGCTCCATCCTGGGCAGCTCCTGTGGAAGGAGCTATTCACAGCACTTGACATCTTCTACCTAAAAATGTCCTGTTGCCATGCCCTGGGATGAAAGGAGAGGTTTGTGCCTGGCCTTTTATTTAAAACTTCTTACGAAAACAGCTGCACAGGGTAGGAAACAGGCAGGGCTGGAAATAATGTTCTTTTTTGGGTTAGAGAGGTTGTCTGGGTACCCATCTTTCCTTTGGGAGTGTGCAGAGCCTGAATTACTGCCCTTTGTTGCGATCCCACCCATCCCAGGCTGTCAGATGCCTGGTTCCCTTGCTGGTGCTCACACAAAACTCCCCATGTCAGCTCCAGGTGAGAAAAGTTGTCCAGGATGAGTGACTCTGTGACCTTAAAGCTCAGAAAAGGCAACTCACAGCCTGGCCCAACACCCATCCCAGTGGAATTTTGGCCTGGGTTAGTTGGTCCCCTTCTGTTCTGACACAGGTCAGCTGTCTTTAGTTAGAGTTGCGTCAGCCAGCACTCACATGGGATGAGCTTCCCTTTGCTGCTTGAGAAACAAAACTTCCCCCTGAATAAACCTTTTCCATCTCACTGGGCCAGAGATGGAAGGGCAGAGTCACCCACAGAGCACCTGCTGAGGTCCAGGGCTTTTCATTTGCAATCCAAAATGGAAACCTGCTTGGGGTTTTGGTTTTGTTTTTTGTTTTTTAATGGAAGTCCTGGGTTTCTCTTCCCAAGCTTGATGTTATGTTTGCAGATCTGAACTGGGACAAAACTGAAACGTGCTTCCACTTTCCACTGGGAAGCCAATGCTCTGGAACCAGTTCTTCACAGCTGGTCTGAGTGGAGGCAGAGCATCTCCCCTGCTCCATCACCACCAAAAAAGGTCCTAAGGGCTTATTCAAGTGCACTCATTAAACTGTGCACAAGGGAAAAGCTGCTTTTGATCTTCCACACATACGCACATGTGAATTCGTACAATAAATGTAAAACTGTTACGTGCAGCAGCAAAAATCCTAACTCTCATACTTGTTTTTTGAGAAGGATGGGCCTGTTGGGCACTGGCAGCTGGGTTTAAAGGAGGTTTTATTTATGGCATTTGTCTCAGTTCATGCAGGCAGAATCTTGGGGCACAGTGGATGGGGCTGAGCCCCAAACTCTGGGGGAGCAGGAGGGAGGTGTGCCAAGCTGGGCTCTTCCCCAGGGGTTTTCCTCTTAGGGCAAGGGAACAGCAAGTCCCTCCTGTCCAGGATTCACTGGATCTGCCCTAGAACAAACACCAGGATGAGGGGAACTACCCAGGGGAAGCCCTGCTCAGATTTATGCAGCTGACACCCAGGAGAAGGTGGATAAATCCCAGTCTAACCCCCTCTCCTCCCCTTCCTCCAGGCTCTGCATGGAAGCTGTGGCCTTTTCCTCAGTTTCAGCTGGGAAAATGTAATTTTTTTGAGGTTTTCTCCTTCCTGTAAGCTTTTGAAGAGCAGGGGCTCCGCTGTGAACAAACATACTTTCCTCCCTGATGTCTCAGCTCTGGTTTTATTTAACCTGCAGCCATGGGGTTAAATAATGCTCTGTTAAAATGCTGATGTGGGAGAGGGTGGTAATTTTTTTTTTGTGGAGGTGGTGAGTAATCAGGAGTTAGTTAGAACCTGAACCCCTTCCCTGGAAACCAGGAAGAGCAATTAAAACGGCTTTGCTTTCCTTCTGTGTCCATCTCCTGCGTGAAGCCCTGCCTTTGGATGCTGGGCTGGTCCTGAGCCAGGAATCCCTCCCTTTCATGAGGAGAAAGAGCTAAAAGAAAGGGGAGATTTGTTCGTGATGAATTGGCAAGCTGCCTGCTCACCTTTCCCTTGGGATGGCTCCGTGCTGCTGCTGACTCACAAACCCCACAGAGAGGGGCTGGAGGTGCAATGGATACCTCTGAAGGAGGTGTGCACCAAGCTGAAAGTTTATTATTTGGCAAAAATGCACCTGGCAGCACACCAGCACAATGCAGAAAGTTTTTAACAGCTTCTTGTGCCTGGTTTTTTTTTCTTTTTTTTCTCATGGATCTTCAGAGGTGGGTTTGCACAGCAATGAGTTTGTTATCGGTCACACGGTTTGATCTCAGGGAGAGCTTCCTGCTGCTGCTTGGGAAAGCTTTGAGTCTTTTAGGGCTGCCCTCAGCCTGCAGAGATCCTGCCTGCCTGCCTGCAAGAGCCTCCTGCTTTCCAAGACATGCTGGGGAGGAAGGGATTTGCTGGGAAAGAATTCAGCAGGAGCTGCGTGGGTGCTGTGACCTTCTGTAGGACACCAAGGGGACCCTGCCAGCCCCACCTTGGCCAGAACTGAGCTCTGGGCTCCACAGCCAGCCTGATGAATGTGGAAACTCAGACCACATGACTTGGGAGCTGGGGCTGAAGTCAAAGTTCTGATTTAATTGTCAGTGCATTGTTCCAGCATTGTGAGAAGTTTGCTGGGACAATGCAGCTCCTTAGTTCCCAGGACAAGCACTCAGCTGGTAAAATTTTAGAGGGGATACTCAGAAATAGCAGCAGTTTGAGGGAAAAAAAAACAATCTGCTCTTAGAAATCAGTTTCCCAAGACCATCTGCTTAAAGATCAGGCTGCTGGAGCTGCACCAGCAGCGAGAGAAACAGAGGGGGACAAGGGAGATCATGAAGAGAGGTGTGGAGAGATGAGCAATATTCCCTGGATGGAGTGAGGTGTTGAGATAGAATTTATGGCAGGTGCAAATACAGCTGCAGTCAAAGTCAGAGGAGATAAATCATGAGATACCTTCCCTTCTAAATCAGC